CTTTGTCCCCAAATAACATATATGTCTTATCACCATATCTTCACTCTTGAAAGTCTTTCTGTTTTTAATAGGCTTTCCTATTTCTTATATCTGTTCTAATTTTAGTTTTCTTCAAGTCCTATCTCATCTTACTTCTGTGATAATTTTATGATTATCCTAGAACACAAACTTTCTCACCACTCTGTCTTCTACAACTGCATTTTTAATTGGGGTATCACAATATCATAGTGTGTCTATAATGATATGAATAGTGTCATGAATATACCAACACTAAGTTCAGGTACAGTGGTTAGCAAATGTCTTATTTGAGGAAGGAGATCAGATATAGGGGCTAAGTTTCTGACATCTGCAGCCATATTCTCTCCATCTGAGTCACCACTCCAGCATTTACTAGCTATGTGATCTTGAGGAAGTTATGTATCCTATATAAGACTCAATGTGCTCATCTACAAAATAAAGATGATAATAATACCCATCTCAGTTTAACCGTTGTTATAGACTGATCTGTGCATTAAGCTCCCATAATCAAAAACATTTTTATTTAAATCTTAACTTGGTTTTCTAATTAGGTGGACAGTAAACCATGCCCAAGATATACCCTGAATATACCCTGTATAAAACTAATAATCATGGTAACTATGTCTGGTGATCTGAACATCAGCTGGGTTGCTAAGGTTTGATTTGAACTACAAACTTTTTTTACTTTTACTTACTGTTCTGGAGAATACAATACAACTTAGGAAAATTTCTAACAAAAACCAGCTAAAGACATGATATAATAATGTTCAATGAAAGCTCAAGGGATAAGCAATGAGCTCATATTTTCTCCTTATAAGAGGAAGCTGCCACAGATTGGACAGGAATTGCTCACACATTCATCACCTCCTTCTTAAAGAGGTGATTTTGAACAAGCCACATTTGAACAGTAACCTAACTTGCATACCCAAGCTTTTTATGTGTCACCAGCTAAAGAGAAAGGAAAATTGAAATAGGATAATGATATATCTGCTTTCCACCTCAAATTGCTGTGTCAAAATACTCAAAATTCTCATTTTGTCATTTCTCAGAGAGTCCATTGGACCCTTCTTCCCCTCACTCAGACACACAAAAGCTAAACAGAAAAAAGGGACAACTGTAATAGCATAATCAATAAAATATACTTAAGAAAAAAGAAAGAAGTTAATTCTATCTGTTCTAAGTCTTGGTTTATGTTTACTGGAAAGAACAAATAATGTAAAAAATAAAACTAACCCTAAAGAGCTTAGAAGGACAAAAGACTGAGAGAACACTTAAGAAATTATCAATTTTAAAGATTTTGAAGACCTTACATTTACTGTTCTGATTGTAAATGATTTTTTCAAGAAAAGATGCCCCAGCAAACCAAGAACATTGCAATTTCCACAAGAGCAGGATCTTGAGCTTGCTTGTTCTATTGTCACCTGAGGGTATCCTGTGTGTTGTCTTTTTCATTTTGGCAGCTTGCATTTCTGTTGTCCCACATGTGAAACACATGCTTGTTAAAGGCATGAAAGCATAGCTTGATTCACTCAATTTACAAAATAACTCAAAATAATGGTCATTATCTAGTTGGTGGTGTGGGAATAGTTAGAGGAAGGACAGATTCTTTAATTGCACAAGCATGCAAAGTACTTGTTAAACCTCATAGGTTTACCACATACCTCATAGGTAAGAGTTACACAAGTGATTCTCCTTTGTCCTGCCTGGTTTTCAGAAGGAAGCAAAGGGTTTCTTATTGTCACATCCCTTAGTGTAAACACGGAACAACTTCATAGGAAGGGGAAAGGGATGATAGTATGCAGGTGGTGTTCATAAGCTTAGTGTGTTTGACTCTTCAGCTCATCAGCTTGACAATGTTCCTTTAACTACTAGCCCCTTACCTCCATCAATTTTATTGTTTAAAGCTAAAAATATATTATTTTAAACTGATGAATGAAAAATATAAAGTAGGAGAGCATTGATAGAGATGAACCCCTTGAAATATTGTTAAATTTCTTTAGAAAAATTGAAAGAAATAAGCTTTAAAACTCATAGAAATGATGTCATTAAATTTGCCCCCAAATTAGGTAGCTTTGAGTTAAATCTTCTTCAGGATTCTCTTGTCTCACTGTTAAACTAAAGGCCATTGTAGGTGTCTCTGAGCTTCTTACAAGAGCAGTGACATTACAGTCTGGATAGTCCTATATACAGGGTGGAACAAAAGTAAGTTTACATTTGTGAACACACAAATTACAATCTATTCTTGCACTATTATTAATTATAGTATTATTTTCCCCATAGAACAACTGTAAACCTACTTTGCTCCACCCTGTATGTCCTGCAATGTTTTTCTTCTGTACAAGTATATGTTACTTTCATCTATTTAGGAATAATATTACTTGAACCAGACTCAACACTTCTAGATTGGTATTTACTGGAAATCTTAAACAAAAACATGAAATTTTAGCATTTAAAGATCCAACAAAATTTTATTAGTTTTCTTTCATAGGATCTGCGAAGAAATGGAGCTTGGAGAAATTGAAATTATGTACTCATTCAAGTGAAAGAGCTAGGTAAAATTTAAATCCAATCTCTCTCCATCCTGTGTTCTTTTTGCTGTTCCAAATTTTTAATAGACAATTTTAAATAAGGTATTTTTATTATAGAGCAAGACAATGTTGTCCATTTGCCCAGGAAAATAAGATCAATAATAAAATCATCCCATGATGACCATTTTGCTATTTCTTTTCTGATGTGATTCAGGTTCTCTGTGGACATTATTGGTGAATACTACATTCCAAGGTAGAGAAGAGGGCCCAGACTGCCTGAGAGGTTCTCCAAGGATGAGGAACCTTAACTTTGCTCATCCAGTATAAGAGTCTTATTTCAGCCCAGCTGACATCTATTACTCCCTTTCTGTATCTCTGAGCATCATTCCCACAATAGCAGAAACTTGAACTGCTGAAGTCCTCTGGACAACTCTGGCCTTGGTGTGGCTCTTACATCTTTCTAAAAGGTCCTTCCCCCATTCCTCTAACTTCTACAACAATTTAAAACTTCATATTTTCCATAAAATAAACCATAACTAATGCTGGCACCTTCCAATTATGTCTTTCTCAACATAGTTTGGCATACCATTCTCTAAATGTCAAGCCTTCTGTATGTTACCATGAATTTTTTCCTTTCATTTTTTTATTTAGATATAATTGACATATAACATGATATGGGTTCCTGCTATGATTGTGAATATGCAAAGCCTAGTTTATTCTTTTTAAAATATTTTTATTGTTATTTTGTTACAGTTGTCCAAATTTTTCCCCTTTGCCCTCCTCCGCCCATCCTAACCCTTACTCCCCCAGTCAATTTCCACACTGTTGTCCATGTCCATGGGTCATTCATACATGTTCTCTTCTTTTTTAAAATTTATTTTTAGAGAGGGAAGGGAGGGAGAGAGAGTGAGAGAGAGAGAGAGAAACATCAATGTGTGGTTGCTGGGGGTCATGGCTTGCAACCCAGGCATGTACCCTGACTAGGCATGTACCCTGATTGAACCTGTGACACTTTGGTTCACAGCCCGCACTCAATCCACTGAGTTACACTAGACAGGGCTTACATGTTCTCTTCTAGACCCTTTCCTTTCTTTCCAACATTATCCACCTCATCCCTCCCCTCTGGTCACTTTCATTCTGTTTCATGGTTCCATGTCTGTGGTTCTATTTTGTTCATTAGTATACTTTTTGTTTATTAGATTCCTCTTATAGGTGAGATCAAATGGTATTTGTCTTTTACCACTTGACTTATTTCACTTAATAAAATATTCTCCAGTTCTATCCATGCTGTCATAAAAGGTAGGAGTTCCTTCTTTCTTTTTGCTGTGTAGTATTCCCTTGTGTAAGTGTACCACAGTTTTTTTATCTACTCATTTACTGATGGGCATTTGGGCTGTTTCCAGCCCTTGACTACTGTAAATAGTGATGCTATGAACATAGAGGATCGTAAGTTCTTTTGAATTGGTGATTCAGGATTCCTAGGGTATATTCCCAACAGCAGAATCACTGGGTCAGAAGGCAGTTCATTTTTAGTTTTTAAAGGAAATTCTATACTATTTTCCACAGTGACTGCAGCTCCAAGAAGACTATAAAACTATAGAAATAAGAGCTCATGTTATACATTTATTTTTATTCTTTATCCCTCATTCTTTGCAAGCTCTAGCCTTCGTTGTTTCTTGCTTCCTCTCCTACAATTTTCTTCCCTATCAGCACAATTCAACCACATGAAAACTAGTTGCAGATTCAGTTTTCTTTTTCTTTTTTTTCTAACATACTCCTACCAAAAGTTCAGCCCAAGTTTTGTATTTGAAGCCTCCAAACCACTGACATATAGACATCGGTACTTATCACCAATATGTTGGTTCTGCTGTCTCAGACCTCATGATAAGATGGCACTTCATTCTCTTTTGAATTTAGGTGTGCCCATGTGAATGTGAGTGGAAGTAATGTTTACCACTTATCTGTGCTTCTTTTTTCATACCCTGGTAACCTCCCAGATGATGGAGTCTCTGTTAGCATCCCAGAATGAAGACAATGTGAAAAGGGGGCATTTGTTAATGTGTTATGAGTATGACACACAGGAATGGCACAATTGCTTGTGACTTAGGCCACTGAAATGTAAGGTTGTTTATCACAGCATAATTTAGCCCATCAAGACAATGCAGTTGACTTAATACCTTGCCTCTGTGCATCTATAGTGCCTTGTCTTGCCTCTACCTCAATATTTCCAATTTCCTGTTTGTCTTCCTTATAGATATATATTCCATGAGAATATGGTTTATATCCATGTATCCTCCATGCCTACCATAGTGTTTTGCATATTGTATCATATCAAAAAGTACATGGTGAATGAATGAATAAAAATGCCCACTCTATGCTGACTACTTCCTGAAGGTAATGCTGGTATTCCTGGATTTTGTCCATTCTCTGTGAATAAACCATAAATCTACTCACAGTGATGGCAGGTGGTACCCATGTAACTGGTGTCACTGCAGTTACAATAGAAGGTAGTCCAGGACTGGGAACAACTTCCTCCATGTTCACAATAGTTTGGCAAACACCTAATAGGAAATAAAGTGAAGCAATCAAAATACACTAAATAATTTGAAATAAAGAAAAAACAAAGATGTCATATTCAGCTACATGAATTGATAGTGTAAATTGGTCTCCTATACTTCTCTATATTTATACTCTTCTATACCTATCCTTCTCTATACCTAAAACAGGCTTCAATGTCATAAAAATAATAGGATATATCATAAGAGGTTGGTCCAATTACTTGACAATGAAGGCTCCATGCTGAATCAGGCAATCAAGTTAAGGATTTCAACATGGGGGCAAAAATCTCATGAACTTGAGGTTAATATGAAGGGGCTAGAATCTGTAAGGTCTTTCATTTTCCATAGAACAAAATGTACAAAGAGTGTAATTTTATACTTTGGAAAGGTTTTACATGTTTAATATTTATTTTAATTAATTTATTTTACAGATAGAGAGGAAGAGAAGGGGTAAAGGTGGGGGAGAGAGAAAGGGAGAAATGTGCTTACTGTTCCACATATTTATATAATAATTGGTTTATTTTTTATAATAAATTCTCACCCAAAGAATATTTATTGATTTTAGAGATAGAGGAAGGAGGGAGGGAGGGAGGGAGGAAGGGGGAGAGAGACAGATAGAGAGGGAGAGAGAGAGAAAGGCAGGAGAGAGAGAGAAATCGATGTGGGAGAGAAACATTAGCATTTGCTCCCTATGTGCACCCCAACCAGGATCAAATCCACAACCTAGGTATGTGTGCTTACCAAAGATTGTATACACAGCCTTTTGGTGTGTGGAAGAACACTCCAACCAATGAAGTTACCTTACCAGGGCTGGCTGATTCTTATATGTGCCCCAACTGGGAATCATATCCTCAATCTTGGCCTATCAGGATGACGCTCTAACCAAAATGAACTGTCCTGCCAGGGCCTTGGGATTTGGATTTTTATTTTTTATTTTTAAGAAAAAATTAAACACACTTCTTTGTATCACAAAGATGTGAATATGTAAATGTACATCCTAAATGTTCAGTGTCAAACTCATTTGGCTTTGGAATCTTTTTTGAGCAATATCTTATGGAACCAGAATTTTGGGATTCCCCCCTGGCAAACACTATTCTAGTGAGATACTGATTATCTGCCTAGAAGACTTGGTGTGTCAATATTTTTCTGAAGATAAAAACATACTGGCATCATTGTGAAATGAAATTACTCATTATAGTCTAAGAAACTTAATCAACTCCTATATGAAATTTAACCTGTAGACTTTTCCTTCATCAAAGATTTAGTATAAAAACACTGAGTCGTAACATCTGAATCACTTACATAGTTTGTGGAGTTGATATATTTTCCCCTTGTTTTTATTGTCAACACTAATGCAGATGTCCCTATTTTCCACCCTTTTCCTTGCCTCCATCCATTCCGCATACCCTTTCCCTCTGGCTGTCACCACACACTGTTGTCTGTATCTATGAGTTATGCATATATATTCTTTGGCTACAGGGGAAAGGTGAAGAAAATTGTGGTCACTGCCCCTATGTCTATCTTTTGGAGGATAACCAGGGATCTACTTTTAATTACTATTTTTAAAAGGCAACATGAAATTTGAAAAGAATGTACTTGGTCATTTAACATGCAAAAAATTATATCAGTTTTAATAGTACCAATACCACCTTAAAATGAGGGTTTTACTACTTATACTGAAAACAGTATAACTATTCTAAAAAGTACTTTCATTATACACATTAAAAACTCTGAAACGTTCATATAATTTGACCTAGCAATTACACTTAAATAGCTATCTTAAGGATACATTTAAAAATATGGAAAGTATGCATGCTAATTATCATTACCCATAGTGAATTCATGATGAGTCAAGATAACTGTTCAAGATTAGAAAATTTCTTCAGAATTAGTTTCATGTGGAACATGAAACTAATGCACTATCATAAAGCTACTACAAATGATGTTCACAAATGGGATTATAATGGACTGGTGCTGGATTATGTGGAAACTCAAGATGTAAAACATGGTCACAACAAAATAAGATAAACACTTTATTTTGCAAAAATAATAGGGAAACAAATGTTAAGTGTCCCTTTTTCTAATGGGAGTGAAGGCAATGTTCCTTTTTTTTTTTCTCCTGGACAGAGATCATGAATTTTAGGATCACATATTTCTAAGTATGAATTCCAGATTAGCCATTTGCTACCTGGTGTCTTTGGCTAATTCTCTTCACCTTTTATAATACATGAATTAAAATCTTGATACTGTAAGCCCTGTTACTACTAAGAGATAAGCTGGCAAGTGCTCAATATTTACAATGAATAAAATTAAGAGTAAAAGCAATGATAAATACTGAAATCTTGAAATCCATCTTTACAGGAAAAAAAATCCATGAATTTAAGAGGGGAGAATGTGTAAGCAATGAAGTTACAGAAATGGTATAATACTGTAAAAGCATTTATTGTGGAGCCACTGAGAGTGTGATTGCCTTAAATGTGTCATATAGGTAAGAAACCCTCTAGCAATGATTGTTTCAAAGCCCAGAAACTAATATTCCTGCATATGTTCAGACATATTATTAGACATTTTCTGCTCAGCACAGCAAACATTTCATTGTGCTGACAGTGTTTATGCTTGGGAAGAGTTTATTGGTAACTCCTTGGAATCCATCTATGACTTAGAGGACAGGGGAAAAATAGGACTCAGTAATTTTGCTGTGGAACATGTTCACAAAAAAATAATAATAAATAAATAAATAGATCAAAAATTGTTCTCTTTCCTACCCCAAATGTTACTTCTTGGTTTTTACCCCCAGTTCATGGTCTTGGTGGAAAGGAAAATAAATAAGCTTGTCAATCAGATGAACCACAGTCCCCACTACCCACTACTATTGTGCTGTTGGAAGTTACATAAATTTGAAGCATCAGTGTCCTCATTTACAAATCCCAAGCCTTGATTGAGAGTCTTGGAGTTAGCTTGTGAATAAATGCTCACCTGTTCCACACCTTATTTTCTTTTGCATCCATACATCCTTGCTCCTAAATTTGCTTCTCTTGTAGTGTATTTTTCTCCCTAGTTTCTTGTCTGAAGCTGTCAAGTTTTTACATGACCTCTTCATACTCTATCCCACCCATCCTACTTCACTACTCCACCCCAAACACACAAACACACACAGATTCTGTGACTAGCAAATAATAGTATTATTGCTAGTAATAGTATTATTGCTACCTTCCTTCTTTGAAAAAAGGTAAATTGTTTTAAAGATGGAAATCTGAGCAAAGCCAGTCAGGTCAGTAGGTTCTTATTCTACAGTTCTTTTCATTTTGGCATGATGAAAGTCCAGATCAGCCTCTTCTTGGTGGTTGACAGTATATAGTAGAAAACTGAGTGACAACATTTTCAGCCATGAGAAGAAAGCTTGTCTTCATTTGTGTGTGTGTGTGTGTGTGTGTGTGTGTGTGTGTGTAGAGAGAGAGAGAGAACGTGCGCTTAGGTGCAGCCTGCAGGAGGAAAAACTGAAATGGAGAGAATCCTGACAGTATTTGCGTGGCTGGTTCCTGTTGTTCCCAAGACTTGGTTGAACTACTGAACTCTGTGAGGGCTGGTTGTTTAACTATATTAGATTCTGTGAGATACCACAAGATATTTCCAGGACAACCCCCATCTTGTTCAGGCAAGTTCAAGTCGGAATTCTGTTATTTTCATCTAATGGAATCATTCTATAAACAAATAAAGAAACAACAACAGCAAAAAGAAATAGAAACACCTTCTCCTTAGAATCTACAGTTAAAGTATTTAAAAACTCATAATTGTCAAATTCAGATGAGAATGCAGTAGGAGGGATCTTGGGGAAATGTAAGAATATATGACACTTTGAGCACATCTTTAATAAGCCTCACATAGACCTTTGTATTGAAATGTTAATAAACTTAATTTACTAATGAAAATGTTGGCTAGAAATTCATTCCATTAAGGTCAATCAAAAAAAGAAGACAATATTGTATTTTAGTAGAGAAAATGAATACTTGATTATGGGAAAACCTAACATCACTAGGATGACAAAAAAATAAGGAATACCTACAGGACTGCCTTGGGGTTGGTTCACTCTGGTTCAATAAACACTGTGATTAAAATAACTCATCTGTAAAGTAGACATTCTAAATAAAAGATGCATAATCCCAATTTGCTTATTTTAAAAGGGCAGGCTTATGAGCATAATTTCCAAATTCTTTAAGCAGTTCATTTCAGCTGGTGCTTTTTTTTTGTCTCTATTTGATATAAGCTGATCACTTAAGACATGAACCCAGAAAAAAACTAGTGTAGAGCTACCAAAGTGAAAAGACTGCATTAAGTTTGAGAGCTACATCGTCTCATATTTTATTCAAATTGTTCAGAGATAATCACTTTGAGCACATACCTGTCTTCTAAAATCCTAAATATGGATAGTGGAGGAGTAGGTGGAAGCTACGCTAACCTCTTTCCAGGACCAATCTGGAACTACAACAAAATGGTAGAGAAATCAGTCTGAATAACAAACTGAACACTAACCAGAGAGAAGCCTTATAACCAAGGACAGACAGAAGAAACCACTTTACCACAAGGAGACTGGTAGAGAGGACAGAGGAGGTGTGAGAGAGCTATCTGGGCTCCCATGGGCAGCAGCTGAAGCTCCAGAGGGACGATATTTCAGTGGCTAGGCAGTTCTCCCTGAGAAGTATAGGGTCTAAACCCTAAGCTAGGTTCCTCAGCCTACAGCACCAGAGATGTAAAGGAACCCAGATAACATACAGCTGTGCAAAGCAACAGAGTTTTTGACTTCCAGGAGAGAGGTAGAGGCTCAGACAGCCTCTTAAAGAGCCAGCACACAAAATTTTGTTTGCAGCCCCTTACCCTGGGCTCTAACAGAGGGAAGGCAGAGTGAATTAAAGACACTTAAGGACAGTCTGTGGTTGGTGGCTCCAGGGAGAGAACTGAAGGAACGACTGCCAGGATTCCTGTGTTAAGTCATTTCCCATACTGCA